TAACACAGAAAGAGACCGGGGTGACTAGAAAAAACAGATAGTGAAGAATACCAAACGGTAACTGTATATACCTTTACTGTATAACACGCCGTTAAGTCGTCTACAAAATGATCCCGCAGCTAGTCAGTCGTTTTCGAGTGATCAATCACCTGTTCATGGTTTTTTCGAGGCAAAAATGTGTTACGCCCACTGTGTCTGGAAGAAATTTAACGTTCAAAGGCGAGAGCTACCACAGTCGCACGAAGTCTCTGTTGGAAATATTCACTCCGCGTCAATCAATAAAATATCCTTGTACAACCCCTAAGCCTTATCAAGCGTGAGGTGTTCTTTAAAATATCTTGAGGAGGAAGCGAACTTGTAAGAAGACCATAAAAACGGTGACAAGCCCAAGAAAGCAGTGCCTCGTGGAGACCTTATAAAATCAAGTTTCTTTCGTTCGTTTTGTAAGAGACTCTTTCTTAGTCTTTGTTGGTACATTATTCTAGATTATTTACAGTGGCCCACAAAAATTGTTCATATACCTTATTACCTAAAGGCAATAACGTTTTCAAAACTAAACTAAATGACTTGAATCTTTTTCAGATAATAGAGGAACTAGTCTACTAGACGATGGCTAGACGATGGCTCATTACTTGGAATGAAAAGAAGAAATTAAAAACCCTCGTTCTTAACTTTTATATCTGACCCATTTTATTTTTTTTTTGTCATTCCAAGTAATAGTAAAATTTAAGAAAAAATTTTTCTAGCCATCGTCCAGTAGACTAGTCCCGCTAACATCTAAAAAAATTCATATCATTTAGTCCAGTTTTAAAATAGTTATTACGTTTTAAAAGATGTACGAACACTTTTGTGGGCCACTGTAACGTGCCACTGCACATTATTATTTATTATCATGTCTCGAAAATGTGATTGAAAAATTTAGAAAAATCTATAAAGCGTTTATTTTGACCTAATTGTGAATTATTAATAATCTCTTATAAATTCTTAACCCAAAAAAAGTATATAATATTTTATTTAACTTTTTACTCTGTAGAGATATGTTCAAAGTTTCAGTAGAAATCGATGGTCCAGTTATAGCCTAAAACAAATAGCCATATTGAATCCAAACTTCGGCCACCAAGTGCGCGTTTCTTTTAGTTGCGCTGATACAAAAAAATATTTTTTTTCAATTTGTTCAATTTCGTGTAGTATAATATAGAATATACAAGCGGAGAGCGAAAATAAATATCATCCCTCGAAGCTTCTGGAGCCACTTGCTTTTTTGAGGTTCATTGATTTCACCTGTGTTCCTGGTTCTTCTTGATTGAAATATATTTAGCACCGTAAAATATTAAAAAATCTTGCTTGAAAATAAATTCTCTTATTCCAAGCGTATTTGTTGAACTTCTCAATCGATTTTATTGCTTTATTGATCGGAAATTGTTTTTAGTACGAAGGCATACAAACAATTGCAGGTGATAATTGTTTATATAAATTGGAAAGGTACACGGGATTTTCCTATTGGACGATTGACAATTCAAGAATTAAGAACACGAAATACATAGTGGTCATTATGCATTGTCAGCAAAAAGAAAAATACAGGAAAAACTGTAAGAATAAGAGATTTCAAGTAAAATTTATAGTACGATAGAATTTTATAGGATCTCCGCGCGTATTGTCTATTCACAATAGTTATTAAACTGTGGACTTCTGAGCAAAATAAAATTAGACATGTTTTATAGCATTATTTTATGACATTTTATTAAAAATAGTCATCTTATGTATCTTTCTTAAATAAGAACAAGTTATTTTGTCTACACCTATTTGTTTCGATTTACAAAAAGTACTGGTCGAAAAATATTTTTAGGTAAATAATTTAAATATTTTAAATCTTTCTACGTAAATAATTTTATAAAAAATTATAATCTACATATATTACATTATTAAATTATAATTTAAACGTATTAAATTATTAAATTATAATTTAAATGTATTACTTTATTTATAATTTAATAATTTAATATGTTTAAATTATAATTTAAATGTATGAAATTATTAAATTACAATTTAAATATATTATTTATTATATCAGTAAAAATCGGAAAATTTATTGCTTGCGACTTAATAGTCCAATTTGGATACACAAAATGCTATCTTACAAAACATACGGAATTCCGTTCGTCCACTACGTTAGCTCACTCAAAATCTCAGGTCCAAAAGAAACAATGCACCCTTTTGCCAGCGACAAGCATCGTTTTATTAAACAGCAAAGAAACTCATAAGCGAAACCCCGTGCAGCCGTTATCATTAAACGGATCCGTGGTACCCGTATCTTCCGTTTAAACTCGATATTACAACGGAAGTTGGGAAACTGGGACGCTTAAATAGAATGCCGAACAAGAAAAAGAAAATGAAAAACGAAATAGCAGGAGGAACAAAAGTAATTATCCGGTAACGGCGGTTCGTAGTTGACGGGTAGGCTAGAGCTGCGTTTCCAGGCTCTTCCGGCGCAACCATCACGACTTCCGGTCGCATTTTTCCATCGCGCTTCGCTCGGATGTTTCGCGAATCCGAAGCTTGTGCAGCTTTCCTGACTAATTTTCTCTCGCGTTGGTGTTCCGCGCCAAAACGACGCGCAGTGGAGTATTAGGTCCGAAAAGCTGACCAAATTACGATTTTTCAAAGCTTCCGTCAGATGAATGAATTTTGGTTGTCTGCACTATTGGAATATATGAACGATAGTATACTAGTATCATATTGTCATTTATGTATTTATTTTCCTCTCCGCTTCGTTGCTCTTAACAATGCAAAAAGAATTGGCAGCCAAAATGTATCAATATGGCTTTTAAATTATATTAATTTATTTATTTATTAAATATTCTCTTATTATAATTCTTCTCTTGATTATAATTCTCTTTGCATTGTTAAAAAAACTTTTGCGGTTAGCAATGAAGCAAAAGAGAACATTGAGACTCTACGCTATAAAGTCTAAAAATTTCTTTCACAAAAGTTCTGTAAATGAAGAATATCACAATGAATAATAAGTTGTCTTCGAATTCAAATAATTTTAAACAGAAAAACAATTAAAAAGTGAAGATTGCTGAAAACTGTAATGTATAGCTGTCTGAAAAGTGTTTGTAAAGAAACAATGAACGTAATTTCTTCATCGCACATAAACGATCCTAAAAACTGAGCGATATTTCCAAAAAAACAAGCGGGGAGAAAAACGAGTACTTGACATAAAAGTCATTACTTTCAATGCTGGTACGCTGTTGTTCATATGTCACAATAGCCCGAACAACCACAAAATTTTTCATCTTACACAAGATTGAAAAAATCGTATTTTGGCCAGTATTTTGGACCCAATAGTCCACTATGCGGCGGTAAGGATCGTCCGTGCCTTGATCACTCAGGGAACAGGAAAGTGAGAAAAGTAGTTGGAAGCGAGCTTCGCGGCTCGAGAGCCAAGTTGGCGGAGGCAGCATCTGCCGGCGAAACTTTTCATTTGCCTGGAAAATTAAACGCGCCACATATACGAGCCACTCAGACGCGGGTCGGCGGAAGTAGCCTGAACGTGAGCGGTTCCGGGAAAATGTAATTGCACCGCCAAGGACGTTATTGGTCCTGGCTGACCCACTCGTCGGTCGCTATTTATGAAAGAAGCGAGAGGGAGTCGCGTATTTCGTTATTTGCTAATTATATGATAGCGTTCGACTCGTTCCGTTAAGTTCTTTGCCACCGGTGACTTAATCGATGATGCGTTTGCTTGAACTTCGATCAATTTCTGGGCCACTCGAGACCCTGCGTGATCGTAAGTGGATTTCTGATCGACGATCGGTAAATGTTTATTCCCTTATTCGAAGGTAATATCCTGATATCAAAACACACACATTCTCTATTATCTATAAATATTTCATTCAAGTTCTCTCTACTAGGTGATAATGTATCTAAATAATACAATGATTAGATAATAGTACGTTTGGATAGCAGAATATTGTTAAAATAAACATTCGGATAAGGGAGTCTCTACTGGTATTAGGATGCTCGTGCGAACTCTCGGAATTTTCTTTCTTGACTGCAGATTTTATGCATTTATAACAAAAATAGATAAATTAAATACAAAACAATTGAAGAGCTCCAGAAGAATTACAAAATATTCTTATATTGTTATCAATTTACTAAACGATTCTTAACCCTAGAACGAGCCCTTTCTATTTTTCGGCATCAGTAACATTGCGGGATTGCGTTGTTATATTATTATTATTACACATTACAAATTGTATAATGTATAACCTCAATGTTTGAGTATTTATCAACACGTTTGCAAACAAATTGAAAATTTGTGGATTCGACGGCAATCCCAGGGGGTCGTTCTAGGATTGAAATATAAAAAATTTTTCTTTTGCATAACGATCCGTAACCTAGGAATTACTAGATTGCGGATTTTATGCATTTATGGCAACAATAGCTAGGCGAAGCATAAAATAGTGAACAGATTGCATAAAAAAAAACTAAATATGTCGGAGTATTAATTTCAACTTATTCGAAATTATTTAAGAAAGAGAGAGAAAAACGTTGCATTTGGCTCCTACGTTTTGCAATCGTTGCATACAATTTTTATGCTCCATATAGATTCGCGCAGTGTAGTAATTACTATAATAGTATGTGGATTTTTTGTATTTCGTACGTTAAGTTACGTATCAGTGTTCATAAAAGACACGCAAAATTTGAACAACTTGTTTAATCGTACAAAAGTAGAAAAGACAAGATTTTTTATAGCCATTTTCATAATAAAGCCATTAGTATAGCCATTTGTAACCCTCCTCGTTACACAGCTCCTACATCTTCGCATTTGGCTTACTCAATAGATATCGTACTAAACATTAGTTTTCAAGTGTGATACAAAAATTGTGTGGGTCATACATGAAGTATTAGATTATACTAAAAATTAGTTTTTAACTTTGGCACAAAAGTAGCTCCATCTAGAATAAACGATTTCATAATTGAAATTTGACTTTCAGGATCAGTTTGACGCCAGAAAGCAACGTATGGGTTGGAGCATGGTGGATAGGGTTTCTGGGAGCTGCGGTACTCAGTTTCATAATCGCAATACCAATCTTGGCGTTCCCGGCAGCGTTACCTGGTACTTTGAACAATTCTATGAAAACCTCTTGCGCTAAAAGTTCATTGTGAACGGTGATTCTGTCCGAAACAATCGGCAGTTCGCTGTTACTTGAAATCATTTTTACGCGAGCTCTGCATACATTGTATACAGGCTGTCCCATAATTATGTTACTTCCGGGAAATGTGAGGTTCCTGAGGTCATTCGATGTAACTTTTTCCTTAGCGAAAATGCAATTCGCGGCTTTGTTTACGAGTTATTAACGAAAAACACTGACCAATGAGAGGCGAGCTCGCCTAGCGCTAGGCGGCCAAGTCAATCGAGCTCACCTCTCATTGGTCAGTGTTTTTCCCGGAAATAACATAATCTTGGTACATCCTGCATTTTTTTTCTTTTGAGCCTATCGAATTTGTTCCCACTGTTCCCATTTTTTTCCTGACAAATATGTAAATCCTATATTCTACATCTTAATTACCACATAATCTTACATTCTCTGAAAATATGACATGCACTGTTTTCTGGAAAACTTGCTTCAACTGTGTTTTTCTTATAATTATAAGTATCTGGTAAGATTTATAAATTATATCTGTCGCAAATGGTTGCAGCTCATTAAATGTTTAGAAGTATTCGCAGTTTTTTTTTAAGTCGTAGCTCCTTTAATTTAAGAACTATTATTAAAGAAATTGTTAACATTCTATTGCAACTTCGGTACTAAATACGATTAAATAAATAAATCTAATTTAGACTAAAGTTTCCAAAATAATATTTCCCAGATGAATTAAAATAATGGAAATATAAAAACGTAGGGAAACATTAAAAAACGGAGAGAGAGAGAGAGAGAGAGAGAGAGAGAGAGAGAGAGAGAGAGAGAGAGTGAGAGAGGAGAGAGAGAGTTCACCATATTATAATATAATTACTTGTTTCAATTTTACATTATTACGAACATCGATGTTTTCTCGCTGTCAGATCATTTCGTTCAATTGTGTGACATCATTCACACGTCGTTCTAACACAAGACGTTAAATCATGCTTCGTTTCTTTTCTAATTTGATTAAATAAGATATAGTATACGTTGCATTTGTACAGGTTCGGAAGAATTGGCCAAGGAAAGAGTCTCGGAGGCGCATGAGAAGCCGAAGCAATCGGCCTCGAGCGAGACGATCGAGGCGTTCTCGAAAATTCGCGAGCTGCCGCGCGCTTTGACGGAGCTCCTGGGCAACCCAGGGTTTTTCATGTTGAATTTGGCAGGTGCCAGTGAAGGATTGCTCATCGCCGGTTTCGCGGCGTTCCTCCCGAAGCTGATCGAAAATCAATTCAACGTCAGCGCTAGCTCGGCCGCGCTGCTAATGGGTGAATAATATCGAAACTTTCTGTTATAATCAATCAAACGGACCCGCCTGTACCGGTTGCCGTAATCGCCGTCATTTTTTGCTGGAGAACCCGAAGCGCTTTGGAAAAAAAAACAGCATCGACCGAACGATATGTTACCGTGTCCCCTCGTGATACCGTGACGCGGAATCGTTTTTGCACCGCCGCGTCGTTCAAAATTTTTCGGATACCACGCGCCATTAAAAACAACAGAACTGTGTATTGTGTCCCTCTCGCGAGCGCAGAATTTAACGGAACATTTTAGAGGACTGTTCAAAATGATCCGTGATTTTTCATCGCAAAATACACAAACTTCTCTACGGTCCTTGTATGCACCTTAATTTTTAAATAAATTATAATCGATTTTCCTTTCTGAACTGTAACAATTTTTACAATACCGATCAGAAAATATTTCAATGTTGTACAATATCGCATACCCAATACTGATCAGAAAATTTTTAAACATTATACATATAATACTTAACATAAGGAGATCAGTTTTTCTGAGGTAAATAGAGTTAAAAGTATAGAAATGTTTTAATATGAAGGGAACTTTACATTTTTCCGTCTCCCACAAATGCAAGCTTTTATCCAGTTAGTTAGAGTTAGATAGTTTCTATCGTTAAAGCTTCAATTACTGTCGGTTAATAAATTGCAGTATATATATATTTCTATAGTGCTTGTATTTATCTCAATTTTAAAATAAACATTGTTTTTCATGACAATCTTTACAATGTCAATCACAAAACTATAATTCTATCTATAATTTTTTGTATCCGATTTTTTTATAGCAAATTTAACTGCTGCAGTGAGATAAATTGTTTATATCATTACGTTTGATGAATTCATAAATTCGCAGTCTACTTGTTAGCAAATATTGAAGTGTCAGAGTTCGTTTTTTTTTCATTGAGAAGCAAAATTTAGCTACTCGTCCGGTCAGTGATCCCAAACTTTTCTATCACGGCAGATCATATAGATTTTTGGATTGAATTTAGCGAGATTTCGGAAGTGGTGAGAATGTGGTTGAACGCAGACCATGACGAAACTTTTTTGTTTCTAGGTCTGGTTACGGTTCCCGCAGGCGGCGGCGGCACTTTCCTCGGCGGTTATCTCATAAAACGGTTTAATTTGCCCTGCTCGGGCATTTTAAAGTTCTGCCTTTTAGCCACTGCATCCTGCATCGCCTTCACTCTGTGCTTCGTGCTGAATTGTCCGAATCTGAACTTCGCCGGAGTCACGGTCCCCTATTCCGAACAGACCAAGTACGTTATGCTCATGAACACCGTCTCTTGATGAGTTTTCTAGATGATTTTTTTCACCGGAACTTGCTGCTAATGTTACACAAATTCTTGAAAACAGAGGCCGAAAGAATTACGGAAGTTTTTAATGTATCTTGTTCAAAACGTGGACATCATAAAAGTTCTTCGAGACAAATTTGTATTTTCGATAGAACTCGTAACATATAAAAATAACAGTTTTTCTTTACTGGATACAGATAGTTTGTTCATCGATATTAGAAAAGTTCCCAACTAGTGTAACAATTACTAAGCACTATATTTACTAGATAGTGGTACAATAATGAACTGAATTAAGTACATTATTTGTTCGCAATATTTACGTAGAACATTCAAAGATCGAATTTTGTTTGTACTTCTCTTTTAGAACGATTTTTAACTAACATTCTGAATTAATTTTTTTCCATAGAGCTATTACGCGATACCGATTATAAGATACCTAATCCACGAGGTGCTTTTCAAATTTTTCGAAGACGAAGGATAATTATTGAATTCGATGCTTGTTTAAAAAAGTTTTGAAAAAGAAAAAGATAATAGAGAGCACAAACTACTTACACACGTGCTCCTTGTTATCTGTGTATAATAAAATTGGAGTAATTATTAATACACCCTAGAATCAAGCAAACGTTTACATTGAAGTTATATTTTGTTAACACTGAATATTATTGTACTTAAATAAACTTTATAGTATATCGCATTTGATACGAATGCATAACGTTTTTGAGTCTATTTGCAATGTTACTTTTCAATTATCGAGTGCCTCTTCTTAAATTACTAATAGGAAATTTTGTACCTTCTAAAATACTACATGATTAATTTGTATGTTTGTGTCCGATAGAAATACATAAAACATTTATCGTCTATTGAAAATTAATCAATCACTTTATGCTATTTGGTAATACTAGCAATGGAACATTTGGATTTTGAAGAATGGTATATATACATATAATTGATAAATTTGCAGGAAAACTTTCTCATTGGACGACGCCTGCAATAGTGGTTGCGGATGTTCGAGATCAGAATTTAATCCAATATGCGGCGTCGATGGAATCACATACTATTCGCCCTGCCATGCTGGATGTTATCAAGAAACGCAGTTAAACAACTTTAAAGTAAATGCTAAAAACTTAATTACTTATTGAAATGAATTTCTTGTCTACAGTAAAATAATTATTACTAGTAATTCCTTGAAAACCGATATTATTAGATACGAATTAAATATTTTCGATATTTTCTAGCATATTTTTTAATAATAATTCATTTTCGAAATTTAGAAATTAGTTAAATTCAAATCCTTCGGTAATGTTTCAATAAACTGTTATATATTGTACAAATTTTACTGGAGACAAAAGAATTTTCTTCTAGAAATCAAACGAAACAATCAAATGAAATGCCAAAGACTTCGCCGATCGCAAATAGTTGGTTTAATTAAGATTTTTAATATAGAGAATTACCTCGGTTATCCAAATTAATCAGAACTATAAACACATCCACACAAGGATAATAGAACAGCCACTTGGAAACAGGAATAGATTAAATAATTTTTGTAATTAATAGTGTTGCATATGCAACGTGAAACATGTTTGCACTAACAGTAGACTTAGGTATCGCTAGGATAATGCAGGGTTGGCCAAAGCGTCGACCGCGTTACTATTCCTAGTCGCCCGCCTGTCTGTCTATTATCTGTGTTTATTTTAAAGTTAGACTTATTATTTGCCTATAATTAAAAAAAAAAACACAGGTCGCCCGTAGTGATTAAATGATTGGCCATCCCTGAGATATTCGAAGTTTTATGGGATATTTTTAAACAACAAAAACGATCTATAAGATCGATGTTAATTTTCTAGACTACAGTCACTCAATTTGTTGCTGTAATTAATTGCTGTATTTATATTTGTCAGGTATATCTAGAATGCAGCTGCATACGCGCACCACCGATGAACATGACATCCGGCACAGACATCATCGCCTATCAGGCGATTAACACCACCTGCAATACAACCTGCTCATACTTATGGCCCTTCATTATACTAGCTTTCTGTAACATGTTTATTACATTCCTCTGTACAATGCCAGCGCTGTCGGCAACCCTCCGCGTTGTTCGAGACGATCAAAGATCGTTCGCCTTGGGTATACAATGGATCAAAGTGAGGATTTTGGGCACTATACCAGCACCGATGGTGTTCGGTGCTCTTATAGATGATACCTGCATTTTGTGGAACGAGACCTGCGACGGCAGAGGAGCGTGCCTCGTTTACGACAATTTGTATATGAGCAGGTAATTCGTGATAATTATTAAGCGCGTGAAATGATAATTCTTTTTTTTAATCTTTCATTTGCTGGACACTAAAAATGGTTGATTTGTAACTTTACGTGATTCCAATTTATCCGACAAGATTTTGATACATAATCGTTTCACTCTTTACGCGTCGATCATAAAATGCATTAACTGTATAGAAATTCGTTTCTTCTTCTAATAATCATAGTCGGTTGCAAATCAGTCATAAGTTCCTCCACTTTTGTTATAAATACATAAAATTCAAAGTATATTTGTTCTATATGTCTTATACTGGTTTCACACGATAATTGACGAATGAGAAACGATTTCATTTTTAAATAATTTATAAAGTTGAAATATTTGAAAATTAAATGATTATGAATTTAAAATCCTCGATAAAAATTTTTATTAGCTGAATCTGTTTTCATTTATTTTAATGTCGCATCATCTGCATCATTTTTAGATTTTCAAATCATTAGTTTTCTTCAATTTGTTCCATTATGTAAAAAAATTCTTATTAGCACCGACGAGGTATAAACTACTAGTACTGTTACTAGTACTGTTACCAACTGTGACAATATTACAGCTACATTCTTGCTTGGTGTTTCAGGTACATGATGGCGCTAGCATTCCTTGGCAAAGCAGCTTCCCTCCTTTTCTTCTTCCTGGCCTGGTGGACTTACATCCCTCCGGGTGGCAGAAGGGCTGATCAGAACTCTCGAGAGGAGCCCACCACCACGTTAATGTTAAATGACACATCTCACGAAACGCCAACAACACCGGCGACGATAAATCCTATACTCGAACCTTAAACAATATAACTTCGCGGACACTTCTGTTCATTGAAAGCCAATGAACGACTACTATTGGAGTAAAATCAATTGTTCGCTCAAGGTCGCTGACTCAGATCGTCATTCACAAATGACGATTTATAATAATTCGATGCTTCTTAATAGCAGAGAAATATTTTCAAAACTCTGTTTCAATGAAAAATAGTAGATGATGCATAGATCTGTGTTGATACGTATAATTTTATTTTATTTACAATTTCTATTTCTTGGAAACACTGTACAAAATTTATTCTAAGAACGTGTTACCTACCGGAAATTATTTACATATTTCGTAATTAATGTTTTAGCTTTTCCGATAGCAGTAACACAATTTCAACCTCAAATTACTCTCAGTAACATAATTTAATAATTTCGGTTAGAATTATTAAGCGAGACAAGGCTTTTAAACTATGTTTTGATATAGCGCAACCCCATTTGAAGTTTTATTAATCCTTTGTTAAGAAGAATTTTTCAAAAACTGTAAACATTTTCAATGTTAACATGTATTGAGGGACGCGTCGGTAACATATAGGGTACACTAGCTTTTAACCGAATTTTGATATTCATTTTTATTGCAACATATTGCAGATACTGACTGCCAACAGGATTTTTAGAATAGAAACGAATTGAATTAATATTTCCCGTGATAAAATTTATCTTTCTAGTTTCAGATTCGATGATTCAATGATTTTTATATTACTGCGGGAATGTTTGGTGTCGATATTCGGTACTTAACGTGTTAAAAAGAAAATATATGTTCTGATCTTTTATTCGTCTTCAAGATGTGAATAGACTTCCGGTAGGTAAAGTGTTAAAAGAATGAATTTCTTATTAACGATGCAACGTTGATATTTGAAGCGTATGGAATTTGATGTTAAAAATTTCATTTATTGTGATTGAGGACGCGGCCTCGGGTGACAACAGAGTTTATACGAAATATTTAATTATAGTGACGGTACAATTGCGGGGAATAAGTTTGAGAAGGAATCGCTTGTTCCGACTTTCCTGAAAGTTTGCTAGTCAGTTGAGAATAAACACAACGATGTGACCTAGCTTCCATTAAATGCGGAAAATTAAGATTAGCAGTAGGTATCAACTGGATGGACACATTTTTTATTGAATAGTTATGCTACATAATTTATCGTAGAGGATTATATATATTATATATAGTCTATCTAATAAGTGTTTCTATATTTTTACGGATTAGATAATACGTGGTACGATGCAAAGGAAATAGTCGGTTATTTATTGAGTAACTTTTATTCTGTAGATCGTATCGATTTCAGATAAATTATGATACGTTTACCGGTCGGTGTTTCTAATCTATCAATTCCGAGAACTGTCTAAAATGGTGGAATTTCCTATACGCGTCGAGGCGCATCAATTTTCTGTTCCCCTATAGTCGATTGCCAAATCTGAACTGTTATATTGTGTCTTTAATTTCGTTCAGTTCATTTCTGAACAGTATGAAAATTTACTAGAACCTATTGCAACGTATGTCTGCAATCATTTTCTCCATCTCGATTTTTGTACATATTTTCTCCCACTTTCCTCCTCTTTCCCCTGAAACTGACATTAAATTGCCTCAACTTCTTCTTCTTCTTTTAATAATAGTTTCTATAAAAATATACTGAACTATAGATGAGATGTGCAATTATAGATGAGATGTGCTACATTTATGAAAGCTGTCGCCTGCGTGCAGACGTAGTATAAGAAATCCCGCCTAAAAATTGTACAGTTACCTGTATGCAATTTGCAATGAATTACGCTACTTCGCATGAGAGACCTACACTGCCAGAATTGCTGTATGAATCATAGAAATATGTTTCTTCTGTTAACGTCGCGTCGAAGTGTACTTATGAGGTGTCGCATACAAAATCGCACTCTACGTAGTAAAATATTTCATAATTTCATTCGTTAAAGTCAGATCACGTGAAAACATTCGACTTTCCTAGCTGAGACATAGTTATTAACAATATTGACTGCTTAAATAATAACTAAACACGCAGGCAGAAAGTTACCACACAATCGATTAAAAGATATCAAATTATTTAAAAGTTATTTAAATAAGTCAATTTTGTATTCAGGTAAAAATGTATTCAGGGAAAAAACAGTTGTACATATGTTCGATTAGAAGGGTGTTCAATAATTATATTAATACCCGGAAATGAGGAGTACCCGAGGTCATTTCAAGTAACTTTTTCCTTAGCACAAATGCAATTCGTGGCTTTGTTTAGGAATTATTAACGAAAAACTCTGTCCAATGTGAGGCGAGCTCGCCTAGCGCTAGGCGACCGAGCTAATCGACGGAATTCGGCTTCGACCGCGCGTTGGCTCAGCCGCCTTGTGTCAACTAAGCTCGCCTCTCATTGGTCAGTGTTTTTCATTAATAACTCGTAAACAAAGCCATGGATCGCATTTTCGCTAAGGGAATCACCCCTTTTAGGATGTTAACATAATTATGGAACACCCTGTAGTCACCAAATATTTTTCAAACCGTACGTTATAGTAACGTCATTTTAATCATATTTGCAAATATTCGTTTAGACGATGGTACAGAATAAACACCTTATTTACCACATGAAACGTAATTTTATACGTGGCGCATGATTTTGGCAGTGACTCGCTGTACATACACTAATCAGCGAACGTGTATTTACCAATTAAGAGGCGTAACGAGTAAGTGCACTTGTAGTCCCTTCGATGTTCATAGCATACCGCTTTCGAATTCAAGATGGAATCATTAGATTTTGGATACCGCATTGATATAAACGAGGTAGAGATCAAAATCCGCTTGACGTATCGATGTTCGTATCACTATGAAACAGACCGGTATCTGTGGTTAAGAAATGGATCGTAATTAAGCTACGGCAATGTGCGCGTCGTTGTTCGAATTGACAGCGTTCCTCGGTAGTTCGCGCGGAGTCGTCAAGTAAAAGCAGCCCGAATGAACGTATGTATCGCAGATAGATAGATAATAATAATCGGTGTTTAAGGTATACAGGTGGATCCCCAGAGCATTTTGAAATTCGTCGTGATTCATTAGCCGAGGTAACTGTTACCGATCGATTGTTACAACACAGAGATGCCTCTGAACCGTTTCCCTTTTCTACGAAGTTTATGTAACACTTGTATGTATGTCGTTATCGATTCGCAACATGAAAACAGCGTTTTCTGGAATGATCATTAGAATGATCCTTATTCGTCATCCTTTCTATTTTCCTGGTCTTATACCGCTAAATTGTGGAATTCGGTGAGAAAACGAGGCGTGAAAAATTTTCAAGCAATCGAGCAATAAAAATATTAATGATCTCATCTTATTTCTCAACATAACTGTATTTCGTTACTTCAGAAATATTGTTAACACTAAATCTACCTAGCCCTGGAAATAATTATTAAGATGTGTTGCTTTATAACAGCGAAATGACGGTTTTTACCTAGACATTTCTACATTTTTATTATAACACATGCTTGGATCAAGTTTGATTGTTTCCTATGAAGGAGTCTTTACGATTTGAACAACTTTTAAACGAAAAAGTATGAAACCGGTTATTTCGATCTGCTGGGTAGGTTAGGGTTCAACGCTTTTCAGTTCACCTTTGACCAAATGTTAAAGTTAATTCTCCCAAATTGTCCCTCAGTTTAGAAACAAAAATGGACAATTTGGGAAAAGTTACATAATTATTCAAGTCTTGCAGCTCGTTTTTATAATTCCTGATTATCAAGAACTATAAAAACTAGCCTTCTAAAACTATACACAAAATCTTTAAGTTTGATTTACCATTAATCTGACAAGAGAGAGGGGAGGGGTCTAATATAAAAGCACTGATTTTGACAAAAATTTTGTACAGTTATGGTAGAAAGTGAAATGAAATCATCCAAATTTTTGCATTTTATCGCGGATTCCAAATTTGGCACACATCATTTTCTCACCCAGTAACAATTTAAAGGTGTAAGACCATAAAGATCGCGAAACAAATTTTTTGATCCCTATACCGAAGGACTACTCTAATGATCATCCACCGTGGATCACTATCATAGGAAATCGGGCACAGAAATCGCAAGGATGCGTGTCGCGAGAATTTATATCATTCTTAACACATATCTTGTCCACATATCACGACATAAAGGACATTCTATTGGACAGTTTTTGTACAATATTACGCGCGCGCCATCGTCATCTTCATGCTCTAGCATTCAGGAAAACATCTCGCACCGGATCAACAGGCAAGCGTCTAAGCAGACGGGTTCGATTGTTTCGACGTTGACACTTTATCAACCGGCAGTTTTTAAATAGTTTTTTTAGTATCGAAGATGCTAAACAATCTCATCTATAACCGATCAAATTATTTAGATTAATATAATGTAACAATTTCTTCTGAAATTATTATTTAAGAGAAAATTATCGAGCTTCTCTTATCGTTAAACACAGTTCAATCATTTAATAAAACCAAAACTAGATCACAAGAAATATTAGTTTAACTCTTTCGTATTCTAAAAATTCTAGTAACATCCAGTTTATTAAATATATTATGATAAAAATGACTTTCAAAACGGAGTTAAAAATTAGTATTATCCATATATGGCCAACGCGGCACTTAACTTGTTAACAGGCTTCTGGTAAATAAAGTGTTCAAGAATTATGGATTTATGAGCAGAGAAAGAACTGCTTAAGCACGCCAGCGAGAAGAATGAGTCTCTTACGTAATAGTTTTGGTATCGTTCATGGATCATGGGATTTCGTATCGTACATTTTTTATAAATATGATTCGCTTACCGAACGCGGATCAGTTCCAGCAGCCAGTACAGTATACATGTACAAACACGGGAATTTATCATGGACTGTCATTTACACCGGTTTGATACAATGCATTTTTTGAGGTTTCCAACTGTATATTATTTTTGTTATGGAACAGTAATATGTCTAACACGTCTATTATACGTGTCACTAATAAAGAGTCAGTACAATGCGTTACTACAGAAATGGCATATATTTTCTATCCCGCTTCACCTAACTCTAACATTAATTGTTTTATCTTGAACTATTAAATTATAATATTTTCCCGTTGTTTACACCTCATGTCACAGACTTAGGATCCGTACAGACATTGCATCTTATGGGCTTTTTGTTTCAGTTTTAGGGGGATCTAGAGTAGAGCTGTTCGAGTGTACTCGCAAAACACGAATCGAGTATTATTCGGTTCGAATAATCGATCCGAGCCGTGACTCGAAAGATCGAGCGGCTCGAAAAAATCGAGTAGCTCGAAAAAAAATCTAACAATTCGGACGCATTTCAAGCGGCTCGCCATAATATCGTTTGCAATATACATATTGTACATGTTACTGCTTTATTTTAGATATTTTTCTTTCCAACTATTCGATTCTTTGGAGCCGTTCGATTTTACCGAGTACATGGGTCGGTTCGAAAATCAAATCCCGACTTGGTTCGGATTTCGAGTCGCTCGAATATTCGAGTATTTCGTACTTTCATTTAATTTATTCCAGCAAGCAAAAAAAAAAAAAAATAAAAAGGAAAATTTTTTTTTATTTTTTTTGCTTGCTGGAATAAATTTTCCTTCTTTTCCTCTAAGATTATTCTTTTGTTTATATTTATGGGTCTTATTTCTCTGTAAATTTATTTAAAATAAAATAAAATAAATATTCTCAATTGTCATAAAATAACATTGATTTATATCTATTTTTTTTCTTACCTATATCACTATCCGATGTGAATATGAAATTATCCA